GCCCATAACTTTTGATTTAGTGGAGCTATGAATTTCATACTTCACATGTGTATTCCTTGTGATAAGACCCTTCTTTGGGTATCACCAAATTTGACCTTTTGACCTTCACCTTGGAGTTTGACCCACGTTTACACAAAAATTCAAAACTTTTACTTTGGCCAAAACTTCTGAACAGTAGATACCTACTAGGGCTTTCATACTTCACATATGTATTCTTTGTGGCAAGACCTTTCATTGGATACCAACAACTTTGGCCTTTTGACCTTTTAGATTTCCGAACTTATGAAAAACTTTAACCTTGGCCATAACTTTTGAAAGGTAAGGACTTGGGCTTTCATACTTCACATATGTAATTCCTGTGAAGAGACCTTTCATGGGATACCAACAACTTTGACCCTTTGACCTTGACCTTGGAGTTTGACCTACTTTTTAAAAACTTTAACCTTGGCCATAACTTTTGAACGGTCCGGGTAAGGGCTTACATACTTCACATATGTAATACTTGTGGCAAGACTTTTCATTGGATATCAATAACTTTGACCCTTTGACCTTGACCTTTGGAGTTTGACTTACTTTTTAAAAGCTTTAACCTTGGCTATAATTTTTGAACGGTTTTGGCAAGGGCTTGCATACTTCACATATGTTATACTTGTGGCAAGACCTTTCATTGGACATAAAGAACGTTGACCTTGACCTTAGAGTTTGACCTACTTTTTACAAACTTTAACCTTGGCCATAACTTTTGAACGGTTGGGGCAATGGCTTTCATACTTCACGTATGTAACACTTGTGACAATACCTTTCTTAAGAAACTACCAATATATATTTCATTTGCATTTAAGAAAAGTTGAGTCTTCGCTATTTTGCCATACGGGGTCATCAGGTTCACTTTCTTATAACTTTTGATTGAGAAGAGATAGGGCTTTCATATCTGACATGTGCATTACCTATGACAAGATTTGACACAATATGTCATCCCACCCACAAAGACACCGAAAGCGGGGGACCACAACTCTTTGAATTTGCTTGTTTCTTTAATGATATTTCCATCTTTGAATTAAAACAAAATACATGTACATAAGATAAAAATATAAATAAAGCGAAGATTTGCCATTGACGTGGGTTTTTTTAACGAAGTTTATTATTTTCCTGTAGCTGAACCTTTCTTCGAGGTACCATTACAGGGGGGAGTGGAGCCGGATATCGTGGTAGTCCAGGCTAGGCCAGTAGATACATACCCTGTCAACAGTCAGGCGACAGGAACAAACAGATTCTTCTCCCACGTCGTATCGGAAGCATTAGGTACTACTTCATTTAATGTTGCAAGGAAGGTTTCCTTAAGTTTACAAAGTCATATAAATGAAGGAATATTTAAGGTAGCAAAATACTTTATTCAATTTCACACTTGTCCAAATTCAAAATTGGTGAGGATACACAGTATCCGAAAAGGGACGGAAGTTCAAAGTTAGCTATTATCGAAGAGGCCAATATCCACTTTCAAAATATGAATACTCTCAAAAATGTACATCTAAAATTCAAAAATTCACACAGCGTTATGGTTTACAATGCATTTGTTTACAGGTCTTCCCTCCTGTTTTGGTAAATGTGGCGACAACGGAGGAGGGCTTGTATTTGCTTATAACAGCTCCACACTCCGACTATGGGCAAACTCAAATGGTAATATGAAATAATTTACATGCGAACATTATAATGTTGATATACCCAGTTTTTTAATTAGTATTTTACTGTCAAACTCAACATTACAGGTAAAATTATTAGCACTATTGGGTGGGGAAGAACGACGTCTGCCTTCACTTCCATCTCGGTCCAAGTGCGTATCCTGACTTGGCACTTCGAGATAGACCCACACAAGTGCCTGCTGAAATTTTCTTCACAGACAATGTTTAACTCCACTACCACTCTCATTCCTCCCTACCTGGATTTTCCACACACGGATTTAAGTTTGGTGCTTGTAAAGGTATGATAAGACCTTAATATTTCAAAAATATAACACTACAAAATAGGATGATGTTTTGGCTGTAGATTTTTTCTAAGATTACACAGTCTGATCTCTCGGTCTCTTAACGTTTCTTTCCTATATTCACAAAAAACAACTTTATACTTTACATTAGCTACGAGCACAGGATGGAGTAAACGAGGGGTTTAACTTCTACGGGAGTGGATCCGTCGTGTTGTCAGGGACGCACGGAGGTGGATTTGTTTTCGGCTACTCTGTTGTAGAGGTGGTAACGTGGTTTTTAAACCCAAAACGTTCAGCAAAACACTTCCCGGTGTTTAAGATCATGTACCCATGGGGAAATGGAAAATGGGCTCAGACGTCTAGCTATATTGAAATAGAAATCAACGTGTTTCCCTTTCTTGGTACAATATCATTTCAAATACGAATCAGTGATCAATTTAACAGTATTTACAATTCAGGAAAGACGTTTGTTAGTAATACTTTATAACTTCTTTATTCTCTATTATTTTTTTTTTAGAAAAAAATGTTCCAACTTGTGGTGACCCGCTTTGTGAAGAGGGAAATAGTTTTCTGGTTTCCCAAAACCTTACTTACATTGAGTATAATTGTCGTCCTGGATACGTACACCATTCCGGAGATCTTGTTAAGTTCTGCAACGACAACAACACATGGGAAGGACAAACAAACCAAGTCGTACAGTGTGTGGGTTAGTTAGAATAATTTAGTTAGCACTCACCACAGTTAGAATACCTCCCATATACTCGCAATGCAGCGAAAATTGCAGAATCGTTCCAAATACAAATAGGATTTGCACCGATTGATTGATTGTATATTGGTTTAACGTCCCTCTCGAGAATATTTCATTCATATGGAGACGCCACCACTTGTCGCTGAAGAGCTGCAAATTTTGTCCTATACTCGGCACTCGGGGCCATTGAGCAGGAAGAGATCTTTTTCGTGCCAGCACCTACTGCTACAAGGGACCTCGGTTCATAAAGCCTCATCCGAAGGACCGGTCTCCACGTCCCAGAGTGGGATTCAAACCTCAACTGAACCTGCGACGTAAGGATCAACTCCTTACTTCGCGACTCTAGAGCAGACGCTCTAAACACTGCGCCACGAGGTCGACGCGTGTATATGTTGTTTAATGTCCCTCTCAAGAATTTTTCACTCATATGGAGACGCCACCACTTGCCGGTGGAGAGCTGCAAATTTTGTCCTATACTTGGCACTTACGGCCGTTGAGCAGGGAGGAAACTTTTTCCTGGCAGCACCTACTGCGACAATCCGTAGGACATTTATCATGTAAACGATATCTAGAACATTATATCTTTGTGTGGGTAAGACATAAAGTAATACGTAAGGAACAAGTAAGTCATTCGGTGTATAGGCAAGACAAAAATCAATGGAAGTAATTTTAAAAAAATTTTCATACAAGTCAATATAATAACCATTCTTATCGGCATAATGTTTCAGTATTCAATCATAAGATGACCGGTAAATGTATCGAGGCAATTTATTCTATTCCCATTATTTATACAAGTACCACCACCTAATGCAATTCAATATTCTCAACAGCAACTCCACCGACGTCTTTGTCTACAACACTGTCCGTATCTTCATCGACCGGTGCATCCATATCATTGGCTTCAGGAGTGTCGCCAACGTCTGAATCCTTATCGTCGTCAACGTCTGAATCCTTATCGTCATCTGAATCGTCGTCAACGTCTGAATCCTTGTCGTTATCTGAATCGTCGTCAACGTCTAAATCTTTGTCGTTATCTGAATCGTCGTCAGCGTCTAAATCCTTATCGGCATCTGAATCGTCGTCAACTTCGGAATCCTTATCGTCATCTGAATCGTCGTCAACGTCGGAATCCTTATCGTCATCTGAATCGTCGTCAACGTCGGAATCCTTGCCGTCATCTCAATCGTCGTCAACGTCTGAATCCTTGTCGTCATCTCAATCATCGCCAACGTCTTCACCACAAACATCGGCATCAATGATAAAGGCCCCCAAGCACTGTCGTGTGAATGGAACACACGGGAATTATTCGTGCAATATTGGTCCACAAGGGATGTTGCACGTCTCCGAATCTTTGACTTGCGAATGTAACACAGGATTTCATTTAAAATCTGGAGATCTCGAGAGAACCTGTTTACATGGGGGGACGTGGAGCGGAAGTGAACCTATGTGTATCGGTATGTAGTCTCTCTCTCTCTCTCTCGTGTATATGTGTGTGTAATTTCTTCTTTCGTGATTTTCTAATGATGGGCCCATTACTTCTAACTTAAGAGATAGTCCTATATTTGCAGCCTCTGGGAGCTGTATGTGTCCGTGTGACAGAGTGACTAACCCCAGTTACACATCTCCTAATGACGAGGCTCTACTGAAGGAAATCCAGAGGATGAAACAGGAACTACTAATTCTCAAAAACATAACTAACAAAGCCTTAAGAAAAAAGATCTCAATCCCAGACTTCCGGCCCAGTGCAAATGTTTCCGGAACTCCGTGGGTGTTACTTCTGGTTGCCATGGTTTTGTGGATTGTTGTACCAGATGTGTGGACAGTAATTCAACAATTGAAGATTCTTATATTTCGGGCCAGGATTTAATTTTTCATTATTTGTAAATGGTGCTGTATACAAAACTTTTATTGGTCATATTACTTTTACAATTTTTTTTCAAAAAAATTGTTTCAATTTGGCATTACTTATTAAGTTTACTATTACAATTTTGTTTTCATTGATTTTTATATTTCATTATTAATTATGGCTGTATAACAATAAGTCAGCATTCTGTGCCTTGAGACAAAATGTCATCAGTTAAAATAATTTTATCCCTTATTGCAAACAAGGCATGATAAAAATAGTCCTTCACTATAACAAACGGTCGTTTATGGTGAATTCATATTTGATGTGGAAGTGCAATGAATTAAAAATTCTATACACATAATATGTTGATGTTTGTTTGTTTGTTTTCTTTGAATGACGTCCTTTAGCGGTTTCTCAGGTCCAAGTTGTGTTTCGAGAACGCACAAGTTCCGTCGCCGTGTCAAAAGATGCGTTTATGCAACGCTGAATTCTATCGCCTGAAATTGACAAGTTGAACAGCTATATAAGAGTTCACCTCTGTTGCTGTAGTTCTTGATCAAGTTCACAAAGTTGTTTCAGAAAGCCATCGTTTGGGAAAATTTCTCTTTTATCTCGCACGTGTTTGACGGCATCCATTACCGTCATCCCCTTCTTTATCATGAGGTAGGCGAGCACTATAGACCCAGATCGGCTCATCCCGCTCTGACAATGTACGTACACCGTTCCTGCAAATTTAAAGAGTTTTGGTTTAAAATAATTTTCATACAAGTTTTAATCTTTTGAAGTATTTGTCAGTTAATTCTATTATTTTAACATTTATCATATTTCTTCTTTACCATTAAACTTTACAGGCATCGGGAATTTAAGGCATCCCACCAATTTTTAGCTCACCAGAACTAAACGCGATCCAAAGGCTTGTGTGGATGCCAAATGGACAAAAAAAATGTCGATTTTCAATAGCCTGGTATGGTTAGAATAAAACATACATGTAGGGTTTTTTTCATCTAATTTTACCTTTTTCTTTAAGGGCCTCGTCAATGAAGTCTGCAGTAGATTGGAAGTGCTGATTGATAGGAAAACGTGGGGTGTCCGTGGCCTTAATCCCCAGAAACTTAATGTCTGTCCCGGAAAAATATTCCTCGTCCGTGTTTGTCTGATTAAACTTGCTCCCCTGAGCACAGTTCACCACGTGGGTTACACGCTTCCTCTTTAATTCCTCTGTATTTTTTGCTATGTAACTAAAAACAAAGAAGAACTTCTAACTAATATTTACTTATGATGAAACATTAGGATCACAATTATTATATACTTTGATCACAATTTCTCAATTATACACATGCCATGACAAATCGTGATGCCTAAATACTAAAAACTGAAAAAGGAATACCCATTTACACATACACTGTACATTCTTTGGCATTTATAACAAATTAACATAAATATATAACTTACTAGTTGCCTAAAAGAATTCCAGGAAAGACCTCATTGAAATTATCCTTGGGTGTGGCTGGAAGGAACGCCCATGGTGAAGGTTGTGCGCCCACGGGAGGTGATTTTTGCGTGGATCCGCCACGGTCGTCTCGTCTTCTGTTCAGGTAATTCTTAACCTCGTCATACATCTTAACCGTTAAACAGGGACGATGAGTAACTAAAGTCAGACGTCCATTCTTAAATACTGTCCGTATTCAAGTCATTTCTATAAATAATCCATGTAGTTGTTTACATAGTCGTCATACCAAATATAGCTGAAGCAAGAAGGATAACTCTAATTCAAGCCACTGACCCATTCTGTATGTATACCCGGTATATCCGTATATGGTAATAAAAATATACTAGTACAATCATGACTAATCACTTTAATTAATTTTTTTAAAAATATAGTATTACTTCTTATAGAAATGTATGTGTTTAATTTTTTTTAAAATAATTTATCTAAAATTATTACAATTTTCCAAAATACAGACTTTTTTCCTAGTGATATATTTCGATGACTCGCTAGCGATCGTCTTCATAGTACATGTGCATGTTAGGCATCATAAAACGGTATCTCTGGGTCTGATTGTTATGTAATTGATGTATTTTCTTCATTATGTGAAAAAAAAACGAATATGGCATTTTTTTCACACCTTTTTTTCTTGGGGAAGAGATGTTCTCTTGTGCATCGTGGCATTTAATGGATGCCTGATCATGAAGACACCTGCAGTACCACTTGTAAAAGGTAGTTCACTAGTCAGCTATGTCTGTTCATGCCCCCTGGACAACTTTAACCATGAGTCCATGACCATATTTTTTTTCATTTGAATTGATCATGAACTGATGTTAATGCAAGGGTTTTCAAAGATAATTATATTTCTTGTGACAAGACCCACAGTGTAGTAGCTAATTGTCTGCTATCAGAAAGAGACGTGTATTTGGGTTTCAACACTGGCCTTGTTTTTAGACATTGTTTTGAAAAAAACTTTAATCTTGGCCATAAGCATGTACAGGTGTATGTGGGAACATATACTTTTTTTCTTCTTTCTCTTTTTTTTTTACAAAAACATTTTGTTTTTATGAATCTTAGAAACAAAAGGAATTACTCGCTAGAACAGAAAACATCAGATAGAAAAAAATAGGAGAGAGCTAAATTATTGCAGCTAACACTATCGATGCTTACAGGACGGTTGAGCCTTCTTCATTGAAAAAATAGATTCTTTTTATTTTGTTCCAACAATGATGTGCTCGTAAGAGTTGTCTTTCTCTCTCTCTCTCTCTCTCTCTCTCTCTCTCTCTCTCTCTCTCTCTCTCTCTCTCTCTCTCTCTCTCTCTCTCTCTCTCTGTAATTCTTTAACAAAGGGGGAGGCGGTCATGATGATGTCCAACTCTGGCTGTGTAACTCAGATCACTATAAAAAGTGCTGAAATATAACATCTATAGACGGCGAAAATCATTTGATGAACTTTGAAGGTATCATTATTGGAACACTAGTATATGTTTTATACAAACTTACATCCCAAAAGACCAGTAGAACTTTGTACTTGTTCAGGAGAAATTCTCCTTTTTCATTTTTTTTTGGCATAACACATACCTAAATGTGCTAAAGGAATTTGATACATATACCTTTTTGATACCTTAATATGTTTTGATTTGATAGCGGTAAATTTGTTTTTACTTGAAATAGTGGACATATATTGGTAATAAATTCTATTCTATTCTATTCTATATTCTATTTACGGTATCAGCAAAAATTGCTAATCAACACCTCGCTCTTCCATATATTGTATCAATATTTCAGTCCTTAAAGATAAGCAGGATACATGTATATCTTGTAATAAACACGATTGCAGGCATTGGGCCACTGTAAGTTACATGTATCAGCAATTTCCATCTTCGCTAGCCAAGGTTTTTCGGTCCGCTCTGCTTCCAATAAACATTTTTGGGGAGCAGAGCGGACCGAAAACCTAGCGAAAATATAGTCAAATCCAGTATAAACCAGAAGTCTCTGTCGAGACTGTAGCTCTACTGGTTTATACTTAAACCGAAGGAAGAGGAAGTAGCAGTTGGGACTTGAGACTTTAAATCAGCAATGAATAGAAAAATGATCCTTACCACTCATCAAAATAAAAACCGATGCACAGAATTATGTATCTTAGTATAGTGCCAATTTATATTGAAATCGGACCAAAACTGTAGGAGGAGTAGCATTTTGAAAGAATTTCACAGAAATTTCTATTTTTAGTAACATGGCAACACCGTTCATCGGAAGCAAAAACCAATGCATAGAATTATGTATCTTAGTATAGTCTACATGTGTGCCAAATTATATTGAAATCGGACCAGAACTGTAGGAGGAGTAGCATTTTGAAAGAATTTCACAGAAATTTCTATTTTTAGTAACCATGGCAACACCGTTCATCGAAATCAAAAAGCAATCCACAGAATTATGTATCTTAGTGTAGTCTATTTGTGTGCCAAGTTATATTGAAATCGGACGAAAACTGTAGGAGGAGTAGCATTCTGAAAAATTGTTTACAGACAAACAGACGGACGGACGACGGACGCATTACTATTGCATAAGCTCTTCTGGTCTCTGACCAGTAGAGCTAAAAACCAAAGACCTGCCTGTTGGAATGAAACAAGTCAGCCAAATACGACCCAATGATAGGTTATAGGATTTTGCTAATAACACAAGGTCATTATACCTACCTAAAATTAACGAAATGACGACTTTATGTGAGGTTATTGAAATCCCTGCGACATCAACTTATCGGTGAGTAGCATGCCTCTCTTTAAAATTAAGTTTTGTGATCTTCTAACACAAATATTAAACTGAACGAAGGGATAATAAACAGTAGGATGCCTTTTACAAGTATAAATATTGATTTGTATGCAATCAGGTTCGAATTTTTTGCTAACATCATCACATATATACATTATTTAACTAATTACATTTGAATTGTCTGTATGCATACAGTGAAGTCACCATTTACGAATTGTCTTATTTTCGATACAGTCCTAAGTGTTGCATACCATATTGTGTAAATTGAAGCACAGAGAAATTAATTAAATGTAATAGTATTAAATAGACGTATATCAGTATTGATTGGATTTTTGTCTGTAATCAATAACTAAATTTTGTTGAAAATTAACATCAACGTTTTTATTCATCACACCAAGACTGATATAAACGTTGCATGTACATAATAATGGCTAAAAAGTATGGCACCTGGATTTCAGTTATAATTCAGAAATCATTTAAACTGACCACAGCCCAAATTTTATACTGATTGACAAATCAAACTGTACATAGCAGACTGTGGTTTACCTTTCTTATGACATGGACCTATCATAACGAATATGCTATTAAAAACCTAGTTGAAGCTTTTAATTTACTTGGAATTTAAAAAAAACTATAGAGTAAAATTGTGTTTTTGTTGCAAAAAAAAAAATCCCTCGCAACACGAATTAGAGAAAATACGGTAGCATGTGTGAGGGTACGTGTGGGGTAGTGGCCAACTTTTTTAAATGCCAGTTTTCTTTCTCTTGAAATTTTTTTGCATACTATACTACATTTCCTCGATATCACCTTACTGTGGTAGGAAGTGGGGAGGGGGGGGCAACCAACCTTTCAATGATTTCACTTTTTTCCCAACATTACTTTTACTATTGGAAATGTGTACTGAAAGGCGGGTTGCCCCCCCCCCCCCCCCCCACTTTTTACTAAAAGCTAATGATATCAAGGAAATGTAGTATTGAATGCCCCAAAAATTGGTAGTGAAAAAAGTTGGCGTTGAAAAGTCTTGGTCTCTAACACCCACCCACCCACCCCCACGAAATAGGATTTGGGCAATATTTTTTTTTCTTTTTTGCTTGTCAACTTTTTCAGATAAGTCAAAAAAAAAATTTCTCCGGCTGCCCCCCCCCCCCCACTTTCAAAAATGATGCTACGTGGCTGAAAAGAAAGAGAATTTATGCTCACTGTTTAATGACAGATCTCTTTTATCACAAATATTTCTCTTTTTATGGTAAAATTTAGTTTATTCGACATATTCGTCTCAACTATTTGTTTGGTTGTTTCTTTATGTTTTTGTTTTGTCATTTAGCGTAATTTTGTGCTTTTTTTCACGAAAACAGGATGACAGGATAGAAAAAACATGATCATTTTGATGTGTTTCAAATATAGACTTCATTAACAGGTCAAAGTCATTATTTACAAAACACCATTAACTGTCAATTTGATTGCATTAATAAAGGCCACAGCTATTGATAATCAACAGATTTCAAATTCTAATTTAATTGATTTTGAACATTTTATTATCATTTGGCAAGAAGTAATGGAATAAAATTAATCTAGTAAAAGGCGAAGGAAGACCTTATTGCAGTAAAAATGATACAAACAGCAGAAAACGGTACGCCTCTTATTTTACCCAACTCTTTGACTCTGTGGAATCGGGTCTGCCATCTCATGGTGACGTGATGCCAGCACATATTTCATATAATTTTGATTATTAGGTGCAGCAGATCAAAAGAGTATCAACAGATATATAATGCCGAGCACCAAGTAATGTGGAAAAACCTTCTTATCTCGACGATTTGCAGTCCTACAAGCCTAATTATACTATAATTACTTCAAACGTAATTTTTTACACTTTTTACAATTGGGAAATCAAAATTTATAAATTCGTTCCGTAAGATCTTAATCTTTGTTTTTGATCTATTATGTTTACATCAGCGACAACGATTTAATCAACAGATGAGTATAATTTGAAAATGGAATCCACAGGAATTCTGCAAATTAATCGAATAAATTATTACTGTTTTTATGGCCTGCAATTTTTATCCTCGGTGTAAGAATGTAATTAGAACTTTCATTTTCATCTTTTATTGTGTCATGCTAAAAGTCATGCTATATACGTTAAGTAATTATTTTTATTGACAGAAGGCTCCCCACCATATTTCAAAGATGTATTCTCATATACATGACTTATGTCCATATATGCATCGCTCCATTTCGGTTTGGCGATTTTCCATTATGCACAACAATCAACCAGTAGATCCAAAGTTTAATTTTTTTTAATAAACTAAAGACATCAAAATACCAACTAGAGTAGCAAAAATATTGTTAACATTTTTATTTGCTTATGTAACTTCTTGTATTGATTATGTTTCTTTTTAAATTCTACACTGTATACCTGACTATGTAGGCTTCTGGATGCAAATACAACCCTT